TAAAAATGTAATTTTCATTTTCTAAAATAGTGTTTTTTTACGAGTAGCACAAAATTCCTTAGGCGCCGAACGCCGCCGCTGCCGCCGCCGCGCCGATATTTTCGTAATTCGGCGGCGGCGCGTGAAAAATGACAAAAAACGGCGGCGGCGGCGGCGTGGCTCGGCGGCGGCGGCGTGGCTCGGCGGCGTATACCTCTAATAGGTAGTAATTCTACAAACTCATACCTGAAGTATTTAATTTAAGAATCATTTACAATGCCAAACTTAAATAAACTAATTTACAAAAAGGCAAAGCATCAAAGCTCTTGCAAGACCACTTCTGTGCATTAAACTTTTCAGTGTAAAGCCTTAGAGTCCCTTAGACAGAGAACTACAAATTTGCAACAAGTCAACAAAAATTACAATCAACTTGGACAACTGAAGATTTCAAAAGAAACTGTAGAAAATATACATCAGTAAGTGCTTTTTAAGTGAATGTATTGGTACAGAATTAAAGCTTTAATTCGCCGAAAGTTTCCATACAATCAAAAACATCAGCATACGAAAACTTTATGCAAAAAAAATTTATTTATTTTCAAACGACACAATCTAAAAATTAAAACAAAATCTCATTAAAAAAACTGATTGGAAAAGTTATCATAGAAATCAAGCCAATGAAAAGGTTACAATACTAATTAACCCTTAGTAAATAAGAAAGATTTCAATATGCCTCCTGTGAGGTTTGAACTCACGACCCCTGGTTTACGAGACCAGTGCTCTACCACTGAGCTAAAGAGGCTTGCAAAGGCAACCAGATACATACATACATGTGCACATAAATATCTACTAATTTTTGTTTTTTATTGACATTACCAACAAATAAAATCGATTTTCGTACCATTTATGTATAAGCAACTTATCAGCCGAATAGAAATTAAAAATATGTTCTGGTAATTAGCTTATATGAAATAAACATCAATAAAAGTGTAAATACAAGTGTAGTAGCTATGTGCACCCTATGTGTGTTTGTACATATAAAAACTATACCACAGTTTTGTTGTTTTTTAGTTAAACCCTTACGTATTTGGAAGCCAATTATCAAAATTTTAATACAAAAGTCCAAATATCCTTTAAATATTTGAAACGGTTGTAAATATCTTGTAGGACTATTGACTGAATATTTTTGTTTTTCACAAACGCCTGATTTTGATTGGCATACGTGGCAACCCCAATTGTTCAGGTTTTAGAAAAATTGTCCTGCTGTCCTGGTCCACACTTAAATTCTCCTAGCTTTTAAGGTGATTTCAGATATGCATTTAATTTTTAACAGATTTCTGCTATGAAAAAATGGCTAAACTTTCTAAAATGTTCAACAAAACATCTGGTGAGTTTACCTTCTTTTTGTTTAGTTTATTTGGGTAAAATTTTACTTTCTATCTTCAGGGAAATGCCAAATAATTGTTAGTTCCTCAAGTGGTATACGGCTGAGGGGTCTTAAATACTACCCGCAGACAGTTTCAGGAGCTACATATATCTCTTTCTTTCTTTTCTTTTTTGTATGGAGCGGCACAAATTGAGAGCTTTTGATTTCACTACCAGAAGGCCTTTTGGAGAAGTTATTTTAAAGCTTTGCTCGCAGTTCATAAAAATCATACTTCTTTAAGGAATTGGTCCAAAGAAACTATACTTATAAGGAATAAATAGCACCATATTCACTTGAATCTTCGTTTTTGATTTAGATGATAAGTGTCCTGGTTAAGGCTCTTGGCAGCCATAATTTAAAGTGTAATCTCGAACATATTTTTGAGTAGGCCTCACATAGTGGTCAATCTATACATTCTCCGACTTCGCTCTATATAACAAAGTAATGAGGTTCCTTTTTTTGAAACTAGACTCATTTTAACGGCCAGAATTCAAATCATAATTGTAAAATACATAATTGATTCCATTAGCTCGGTGGAATTTTTATTGATTTTTTTCTGAAATTCCACTCCAAAAAATTATACATTCAAGTACTGCCTCCTGTGAGGATTGAACTCACGACCCCTGGTTTACAAGACCAGTGCTCTACCACTGAGCTAAAGAGGCGCTTAATCACGCTATTGAAAATTTATATCAAATCGAAAGAGTACATTTATTTTTAAAAAGTAGAGTTCTATGTTCATACATACGTATGTGTATACATATAGAAGTAGTTAACTAAAAGTTTTCATTAAGTTGAAAGCATTTTTAAGTTTAACAGCGCTTTATGAAAGACGTATCATGCTGCCAACACTTCAAAGTACACGATATCACGCGCATTTTTTTAAGTGAATTAACTCAACATTTCCGTTTATCAACAAAAAAAGTAAAAAACTATTTATGAGCTCATGTTGTTCATATTTGACTGTGCATTTCGCAATAAATTACAACGGTATATTTCTTCAGCTTTTGTAGGGTGGTCTGAGAGCATTTTTAGTACATACATAATGGAATGACAATTTTCGAATTAATAAACTTTTGAAAAACATGTGGAATATGTGTCTACATTACCGTATACCCTTAAATTTAGAATTAAATTTCTATATTATTAAAAGTGTGATATGCATGTGCATCGTTGCCTTAATTCACAAAGGCCCTAACCAATACTTTTTCGAAACTGCTATCTTCCAGATTTTGCTAAGATTTATTAAAATACACTTTCAATAAAAATGTTAAATTGTTAGTACAAAAAAGAGAGGAATGATACACTTTCCCAGTTTAATTGGAAATTCAACATAGAAATACATAAGTTAGAAAAGACGTCAGACGCTTTTTCTGAATATAATAAAATAATTGTTATTCATTGTAAGGTTTGGTGTTTCCGACAGGGTACGAATATGTTGCTATGTGGAACAATTTTCCGTCATCCCTTATCAAATTTGGTTTGGACACAAACCGATTTCGGCGTTGTGCCATACTCATTGTCAGATTTCGTTTGATAACCGGAATTTAGTGGGAAAGTCCGGCGCCCAGAAGAAGACGTGGGTTGTTACCTTTGTAAGAGGCTTTTTTGTCGTTCGGTCACGGTCACGAGTTTTGCGAAGGTTCTGCTTTCTATTAAACGGAGCGAAAAAATTTCTCACTGCTGGCATCGTAATAAATAATTATATATCGGCTTGCATTCAGGATTATGAACCCTTTTTCTTCTTGCTACTGATGCTCACGGGCCCTCAATCAGCTTTTTTCCTATAAGCCAGTTAGTGTTCGTCCGATACCACCTCCGATACTCGTTGCCTGTACGAATTCAAAGTACTCGATGCTACTCAAAGTGTCGCTAGGAAATGCTCGATTCTACTTGTACTAGAAAGTACCCAGATGAGAAATATTAGATCAATGACCGTATACAATTATAGGGCCGATTCTGAACAAAAACTCCCCGCGAGTTTTCTCCGTTTTTCCTTTCCTCCTATCATGAATAAAAATTCCCTGACGAATTTTTATTCTAAATGGCGGAGTTGGCAGTAAAAAAAGTGTGAAACAGCTCTTTCGGAATTTCCTCCTCTCAAATTTTCGGGGAAAATGCTACTCCTAATATTTTTACAACGCAATGTATTTTTGTACAGGAATTCTTTGATGTGGCTTATAGTCTGCAAAGTGACAAAAACTAAATATTTTCGCTTGTTGAGTAATCATTGACGATTTCTTACGTAAGTCAAGTCTGGACTAACTGAACCTTAAAGAAAATACAACGTCAAGGCGGTTTGCTTCTAAACCAAAATACCCATAGCGATGCATCTGGCAGGCTGTGGGTGTGTGTTTGTTGTGTTTGGAATAAATTGTATTAGAAATTGTAAAAGATAACAGCAAATGCCATAAAATAGGTGATCTCAGCTCAGTTTTAGTTTGGAAGCTGCACGTTGTACCAAACTTAAAAAACAACGACGGAAATGTTTAATTTTCTCAATCATTCACCGATGGAAATTTGTTTATTGCTTATTTTTCCATAATAACAATTTATAAAAGCTTTCGCTTAATATTCATTCATTTAAAAATCATATGCTGAAAGTGCAATAAGTGATTTTCTCGTTACTGCAAATGCATGCGAAATAAAAAAAAAAAACAAAATCCATTACAAATCATTACACTGATTTATTTTAGCTTTTCCCACATTAATCTGTTGCATTCAAATCATTTAAATCGCTCTGCGCCTGACTTTCCATCGGCCCACCGTTGTTGTTGTCGTCATTATTATTTTCATTGTCGTTTTGTACGCCAAATTGTCGCTGCACACCCTCCAGTGACTCTCGCTTCGGTGTACTCCAAGTGAATTTCGAAAAGCTCACATTTATTTTACCTCCACTCCTCATGCCGGCCCAAGGCCGCACCACCGGTGTGCCAATACGCTGCCCTGTCACATTCGTGTTGTTTATTGTCGCCGTTGCCGGTGGCGTTGAAATTTGAGGTGTTGCCG